CCATAAAGGTCATGGCCTGAATTAAAATATTATTATGATAATGAATTCGTAACGTAATGTTTTTGCTATTTATAGGAATTCATTTTCCTTTTCGAATGTCATTAAAACTCGTACTAAATGTGGTACAAACTAATACATGTGCTTCGACAATATTATATATATATATATATATATATATATATATATATATATATATATATAATATGTACGAGTATATGCAAAATTATGTATATGTTATTTTATATATTCAACGTTACCATATTATTGAGTACTCACCGTCTCTGGGCCTTCCGCAAATGAGATGCGGATTTTTTATTAGTCCAATTTTACATCCCTATTTTATTTCTTACATATTTTATTGTACAGCAATATCTTTTGTTAATTTCTGTAAAAGTTTTTGTATAAAATATGAAAAAACCCCAGTCATTGATAAAATTCAAGTGGAAATTAATTCAATTATAAGAATTGTTCGAACGAAATGAAATTTTATTTTCATCATATCCCTGTTAATAAATCAGTTCATGAAAAAGTAAGATTGCCTCTCACTGATCGTAAAGATAGACAGTGTTGGAGCGATAGTGAAACATTTATCATCTAAGCAATACAAATATCGGTTTGTGCATGTGTGTGTACATGTCGTATACGAGCTCGTCTGTATGAGTGCGCGCGTGATTCTGCTCGCGAAATAAACCGCTGTGGAATTCAGTTGTGAAGGCCGAGAGCCGGCAGGGGTGCGATCGTTTTAATGAATAATCTTAAAATTAATTCGCTATCTATTTGTTAGAAATAAGTATAAATATTGAAGCTTCAAAAAAAATCATTATACCAAATGAGTTTTTTGTGTTTACTCCTTAAGAATCGATTTTCATATAAGGTCAATTTCCGTACCGGGGGGTATGGAAATTTTATGAGGAGTGAAATTGATATAAGCGTTAACTCAAAAGTGTTACGTTTTTCTGTACAACGTACCTACGTGCGCAACTTTCACTTTGAAATGTCACAGTGAATAATAATGACGAGAGTATGTAAATGATATTTAAAGTGATATTAATAGTGATATAAATCAACCTACCTAAGAATGTATTAATTTACTATAAGTAATATATATATATATATATATATATATATATATATATGTATATATATATATATATATATATATTACTTATAGTACATTAATACATGATAGATGAATATAATATGAAATATGAATAATGTGAACAAAATAAAATACATACACGCTTTCAGTATTATAAGAGTTATATGCGTTTATTTACTCTTTGCCTATTATTGTATATTCAAAGACAGTCGTACATAAGGATTGCTGACACGCACACACTTTTTTTTTCACTTTTTTTCCAAAATGGCAGAAGAGCGTTTTTCGGTAATAACCGTAATAAAAAGTAATGACTTTGATTATGTTCATTCTATTGATTGTGTCTTTATTAAATTTTACTAACTTTTAATTAAAATTTTTATTAACTTTTGTGTAAGTGTATCCGAATATTAACGGGTGCATTATGATTAATACCATAGAATAAACTGCAAAATTATCTTATTTCATAGTACATAGTACTAGCAGATACTTTCCGAACCGCTACGACCTGGCTACCTAGCTACCTCAAGAAGAGAGCGTATTCTTTCCTTAAAGGCCGGCAACGCATCTGCAAGCCCTGCGGTGTTGCAGATGTCCATGGGCGGCGGTGATGACTTCTTCAGGTGAGCCTCCTGCCCGTTTGCCCCTTAGTCCCATAAAAAAATACTGCTACATTAGCTTTTGCGTACAACCGTCATCGTAAAATAGAAAAAGTTAAAAATATAATTTAAGATGTATCTTTCGCCGCCGGCTCCCTGCCTAGCGCCGAAACCGATCCTATTGAGTGCTTCATAAATATTTGAGGACACATGTATGCGCTATCAGCTCCTCGATTCGCAGTTCCACATTTTTTATTCTCGAAACTAGGCGTTTGTTTTAGTCGTTTCTAACCGGCATTCCATTCCCCACTAACCAATATTTGAATAAGCTTTAACGAAACTAACAAAATATTTTTTACTCTATCGCGCATGTACCTACTAGCATGTACAATATCGATTTCGTGTCATCAATCAACAGTCAATATGAGAGTTCAATTTAAAAGAAGGTCTTTTCTGGAGAAATGGGAGGAATGTATCAAATCCGTCAACGTCTGGCGAACATTGGCGCCGCATTTATTAGAATTTGTCGGAATATCGCTCCTGATAAAGAACTTCAAAAAATCTTGTACTTTGTTCATAACAGAAACAAATATTTCAAGATCATTTACTCTCTTTTGAAGATACGAGTATTCATCTAGTCACTAACACATAACTTCGTTAATACGAAATGCAGCAACTGTATACGAATTACCTACTATTTGTTATATGTATTTGTAAATGAAAATGAAAATTTAGCTTAGTAAAAAAGATACTTTTTTATTTAAATACTAGCATTACCCGCGGCTCCGCCCGCGTTCAGATGAGCAAAAACCAAATTCATAGGTTTTACTTATTAGTATACTCTTACATTGCAGTTTTTGTATTTTTTCTCAGAAATGAGACATTTTCCTTATGTTGAACCGATTAACCAGCTATCACCATACCAAATTTTATCAAAATCCCTCCAGTGGTTTTTCTGTGATGCGGTAACAGACAGACAGACAAAAATTCTAAAAACTATAGATTCGGCCTTTGTATTGATAATAATGTTTATTTCAATAAGATGTTCCAAAAAATATTTAATGTACAGATTCGGCTTAGTTACAATTTTATTATATGTATAAATATGGTACTTGGACCTCAAATAGCGACACACAAATAACATGCACATTGTACACACAAAGCGCACGTTACAGGAGGGCCAGCACTTAATTATATTACACTGAAGTGTTAAATAATAAATGAACAACAGAATTTACAAGTTTAAAAAATCAAGGAAAAAATATTCTAGTATACATATATTGTAGGTACGTATAATAATGAATATTGATCTACTATTACTACTATTGAAGGCCACAAGTGTTTGTCTATATGTTATTTTGGAGTCCGCCATATTGGATTTACTATGACGTCACTTTGCTTATTGTAATTCGCTCGTCAAGCTCTTTTATTTGATATCCATATCATAGGCATATATAAAAAACTGGAAACAGTCCGCTATCTTTGGGGTTTGGATTTACAATGACAAAAAACAATACGCTTTTAGTTAACGCTTTTTAACCGACTTCCAAAAAAGAGGAGGTTCTACGTTCGTCTGTATGTTTTTGTTATGTATGTACGTTTACCGATTTCTCGGAGACACGTATTGACAATAAGATGTTTCTAAGCAACTTAACAAGACAAATTCACTAATTTTCTCATTCGATAAAGTATGTATTGGCAAAACGCAAATATTTTATTTTAGTTGTATCCTACGAAATATGTTAATAAAAACCAAACAATATTCAGAAATCAGCGGTACGAAACCCTTGACGCGCGAGCTGATAACCTACTTTTAAAAATTATATACCCATAATATTGTAACCTGTGCAGTGTGCGATGGCGACCGACATACCGAGAAAATCAGTTTCTGTGAATAGCGCAGACAAATTGGCGAACAAAAGCTATGCTACTATTTAATACAAAGGCTAAATTAACGAAAATTATAAAAGGTCGCTAGTTATAATTTTGAAAAATCCAAAAGAAATGGAAAATATTATGTTAATTTTTTTTTGTATATATTTAATTGTACTTATTTAATTTTCAATGAACAGTTAGGAATTAGTTACAGCAGGAATTAGTTGCCTTACGGTGAAGGAAAACATCGTGACGAAACCTGCACGTCTGAGAGAACTTAGCAAGTTTTCGAAAGACATGTGAAGTCCGCCAATCCGCACGTGGCCAGCGTGGTGGACTATGGCCGGATACCCCTCGTACTGAAGGGAGGCCCGTGCCCAGCAGTGGGACGTTAAAAAGGACTGAATACAATACATGACTTCAACATTACTACAATTAATATTTGTTAGCTACAGAAACATTTAGGCTTAAACTATTTATCTACAATTCAATAACTTAACGTAATTAAAGAATTTATAACTACCTCAAAACAAGTTAGTGTGAAGGAATATACTGGATATTTATTTAACAAAATTTTTTAAAAAAATACCGACTTCCAGGCACAAAAATGTAAAAAATAACTAAACGGGGGTTTTTATTTAGAATAGATACCTAATCAGATATTTTCGAAGTCGGTGCCAGCGGATGCATAGCAAATCTAATATATTTTGATATGTAAAATACATCACAAATTAATGTATAATATTTTAACTATAATATTAAAGTTCATACCTAATCATATTTACCTATTAGATATTCATATCTGAAAATATTGTCGGCTGGCTGGCTGAAGAAAGTTTTTTAATAACATATTCGATTAAGCAATTTATTTAAAAAAAAATTATTTGTTGATTTTTTGAAAAACCGCTCGACCGAATTCGATAAAATTTAAATGGGATCACGCCGGAAGTATACATACCCTACGAAACAAAATAGAAATCCAAATCGGTTCAGGCGTTTTAGAGTAATGAGTTAACGCGCCGTTCATTCCGCCACTCAGGACATATCCTTAGTCACCCTGTCCGTCAAGTGGACAGCATTTTTATGCAAAATATTTTTACATTAGGAAAGTATTTACTTTCCTAACATAAAAATATTTGCCAATATTCAAAGCAATCATTAAAAGATTTCAGAGATTTAAGTTTTAGCACAGACGAACATTCACCTTCTTATTAACAATAAAAAATACGTATTGTGTATAGGCAAATATATATATTTTTTTATCTCTTTAAATCTTCGACAGACCATATTATACGGAATTTAATTATTGGCCATTATATAGCTATTACTGAGCAATCAATATCGGAACTCATTAATAGATTACATTAAGTAAATAGAATATAAGCCCCCGAGACGAGACAACAAGATTATTCGCTACTTTGGTTTTCAAGATGCACTTGTGGGTAAGTTTGTTTGACTTTTTACTATAATTATATAGTAAACAAATTATTTTTTGTTGAATAATTATTATTTATTTATTTTACTAAGAACATCATTTTCGCATATAATATCATAAACAGTTTCTATGTTAATAACTGCATTAGTTATACAACTAAGTCGTATAACTAATATATATATATATATATATATATATATATATATATATATATATATATATATATAAATATATATACATATTAATTTAATTGCTTTGTATGGGCTGGCACCGATTTCGAAAATATTTGATTAGGTATGTATTTAATAGGTAGGCTTTAATTACTTAGCCAAAGCTCACCGACTTCGAAAATATTTGATTAGGTATGTATAGTAAATGAAAACTACCAATCAGTTATTTTTTACTTTTTAGTGCTATTCTTTGAAGTCGGTTTTTATTTTTTTGTTAAAAAGTTTTTATTTTTCCCTTTTTAGTGCAGACAGTAGTAGCAAAGTAAGAATTCTAACGTGTTAGGCTTGTCAAATCAAACAAAATAAGCCCAAACTCAAAGTATCTACTATTAGCCGTTGAAGAGTTCCACCTATCCACCTTCTGGCCTTACCATCAGATCAGGTCAACAATACCGAACCACTGTACTATCAACGGAAATAGAAACACTTGCAAAGTTTCAAGTCAATATGACAATTAGAAGTAGGTTAAATTCATCATTAGCTATTTTTCCACCCTTAGGGGTGGTATTTTTTTTTGAAACTTAAATGAAATCAATCTGGAAGTATACACTTTCAAACAACACAAAAATTATCCAAATCGGTTAATAAATGACGCAGTTCTGAGGTAACAAACATAAAAAAATACAGTCGAATTGAGAACCTCCTCCTTTTTGAAGTCGTTGTCAGATCTTAAACTTGTCTCCCCATACTGTATATTGTCAGCCTAACACGTGTTCACTTCAGGACTTGCACACCTCAGGCGGTATGAAGCTTCAACTTTTTTCTTAGATTTTTTAGCTATACTATTTTCATTATCAAGTCCTCCTTCGTCGTTTAGTTCACATCTAATAGCATGTTCGAGTTTTGGATTTCGAGTAAATGTCACAATATCATACACCTCCTCATAGCTATTTGAAGACGAAGATCTAGGTATATCTTGTAAGGGTAAGAGTACTTCGGTAGGTTTGGAACGAATTGGTTTTCTCTCGAAATCACTTTCGCTAAATGTATAACAACTTGGACCATTGCAGGAACCACATTGCGAATCACTTATAGGATTAGTGTCACTCTCACCCGACCCAGAGTTTCCATGATTTCCTTGGTCACCAGACGAGTCGTTGCCATTGTTGTCATTTGAGTCTTGGTCAGAATCAGAATGATGGCAGTCGTCGTTGATTAAGTCACTATACAAACAAAATAGCTAGTTAATAACTGCATTAGTTACGACTCAGTTGTATAACTAATGCAGTTATTAACATAGAAACTGTTTATGATATTATATGCGAAAATGATGTTCTTAGTAAAATACATAAATAAATAATTATTATTTAGACAAAAAAAATAATTTGTTTACAATATATATATATATACATATATATATATATATATATATATATATATATATATATATATATATATATATATATATATATATATATATAAAAGTTTAATGCACAGTGCACTTCGCTCTCTTCTTACCACCTACTGCTTACTATACTACTACATTAATTAAATGATTCTGGAAATTCTTTCATTAATAAATCTTTTAATTAATAAATTGCTGTACGAAACACGACCAGTTATTAATAGAATTAATATTATTTGTTCATAGATATTCTTCGTATTTTTTATAATTGCGAAAGATATATCGCAAGCAAACTGCCATCATTCTGATTCTGACCAAGACTCAAATGACAACAATGGCAACGACTCGTCTGGTGACCAAGGAAATCATGAAAACTCTGGGTCGGGTGAGAGTGACACTAATCCTATAAGTAATTCGCAATGTGGTTCCTGCAATGGTCCAAGTTGTTATACATTTAGCGAAAGTGATTTCGAGAGAAAACCAATTCGTTCCAAACCTACCGAAGTACTCTTACCCTTACAAAATATACCTAGATCTTCGTCTTCAAATAGCTATGAGGAGGTGTATGATATTGTGACATATACTCGAAATCCAAAACTCGAACATGCTATTAGATGTGAACTAAACGACGAAGGAGGACTTGATAATGAAAAGAGTATAGCTAAAAAATCTAAGAAAAAAGTTGAAGCTTCATACCGCCTGAGGTGTGCAAGTCCTGAAGTGAACACGTGTGAGGCTGACAATATACAGTATGGGGAGACGAGTTTAAGATCTGTAAATTCTAAAGTAAAATATGTAAAATTGACTTTGACCAAGAAAAATCTCAACAGAAATATGGAAATATTTGACATTTTTGTACTATCTCCTATTAGAAAGTCGCAGATTCCTATCAAATGTACAATATTTGAAGAGCCAGCGGTGCTGGAAAAATATAAAGAGAGTGAAGGTACCAGAAATCGAAAAATCCCTATACAAGTGTACCGCGTTCGCTGCGCTTCCCGGCGCTGACACCGCCAGGACTAGTTTACTTATCTAACTTCTATACAATTAAAGAATAAACGTTGGAACTATAATACTGCCTTTTATTTGTAGAGTAGAATTTTATAACAGATTACAAAGAATTCTTATATCAACCAAAAGATTATTTGATATTATTATTTTAGCCCAGTACAATATTTGCTAACTTTATGAGTCCGAAAAAAAGGGGAGACAGTATTTAGGATAATAGTATTTTTTAAGAACAAACTACGAGTATGTCGGTTCTGTATATGTAGTTGTTCATTATAAACACAATTATGACTTAATATATGTATAGACATTTAGCATAAAGTCCAGTGATGTCTACTGTACAGAGGGCGTTTTCTATTCTATAGGATAGGGCTACAATCACACAGATTCATCAACGTATCTTTGATGACGTTATAACTAAAACAGTAATTGAAACCGGTATAACTCTACTATAATTATAATTTCATTTAAATAAAGCTTTTGCTAGAAAAAAAAGGATTTTTACAGACAGGACCATTGTTTCTTAATGCGAAAGTTTGTATGTGTATGTATGTTTGTCACTTAAATTCGATTATGATATAATATTATGATAACTCTAATACTATATTTACAATAAATAATTTGAAAATATTATAAACTTTTTTACATCCACGAGGCCGAGGCTTTATATCTTCAAACAATGTAAGTTATACTCTTAGATAACTTGTCAGTAAAGGTTCTTAACCATTTTTTTATTATTGTAACTAAAATAACTTGCCAGTTTTATCACAGTTTTATTTTGATTTTTGGTACACTACATATGTTTCTAATGTGATTTTGGTAGCAAGACATCACAAATTTGATTTATTTAGTCTTCAATTAAATAAAAAAAAATTATTACTTATTTATTCTATGTATAATTAAAAAGTCAATTTTTTGCTTTAATCTAAGGAATTAATAATTTGATAATATAAATATTTATATTATCAAACCTAGGTTTAGTATTACTACTCTATAGAAAGTGTTCTCGTCATATATTTTAAACTTCCTCTTTACGTCAATCCGTTCCACGCCATCAATCTTTCATATTAGCGTCAAAATAAAATGTGTCACTCCATAATAATATCCTCCATTCTTCATTGTACTTTTTGCTTACATTACTTCGCCTCTAACAATACAATTTGCTAACTAAAAATGTACATAAACGGATTTATGCGTATGAAGTACCACTCATACGTACAAATATATATATATATATATATATATATATATATAGGTATATATATAGGTATATATATATATTAGTAAGTTTTCTTTACTCTTTCAAGTGATGTACAATTTTCACAAATATTTGCATCATTTGTTTAGATAACGTTTTAACTCTCTTCCTGTTCTTAGTGTTATCTATTCTATCTTGAGCTTTGCTTATATATTATTAATAGCCCGTCAATAAAAAAACTATGATAGAGACTACAAATCGATAATTATTTGTCAAGATCTGCATGTATCTTTGTAGAGGTCCTCGAGTGATGTGAAATAATTTCAATAAAAGCCCAACTCATTCGATGCTGAATTGTAATCGATTTGAGCGTGAACTTATAATGAAGTCGCCATCGAATCGGCGTGGGCCGATGACGCAAGGGAGGGGGTAGCACCGAGTGAGGGGAGAATTGAAGGGGCAGGTCAGTCTCGCGAAAACATCGGGTAACTCGATAAGTGGTCGCAATTAGCGGGCGTTGGATGAAACGGGGATTCCAGTTTCACAATTAAAAGTTACCGCGGGTTTATTATCTATCCAACCAACTTCCACAATAATTCATCCCAGACGAAGCCAGTGAAAAAAGTTTTCATGTTATGAAGAGATGGAGATGAAATTTCGACTTGAATTACTGCGGCAAGTTTGCGTGTGGCGCTATCAACGGCCCGCTTTATCACTTACACTTACAATTCAACATTACACTTTGCCGGGACTCTTCCCTTCCGCCTCTTCCTTTTATTATGGTAATAACTGGCAGTTACGTCACTTTACATTGCAGTTTTGAGCTCGGATAGATGACAAAGTGCCAATTATACTAATGTTAATGCATGAACCTCCCTCGATGTTACCGAACTACTTGCATATAACTCAATTATTTATTTAAATTGTGACTTTATTAATTGCTTATGTGACTTTAAATCGAAATCTAATATATTTCAAAAAATACTCTATAGATTCTGTAAACGTTGTGAGCAATTTTGTTAGTTTCTATAGAGTAATGTTAAAACTTACAATCTTTTACTACTCATTTAGATGAGCCGAAGTCTGAGCTATGAACGAATTAAATGCTAAAATATACAGGTACGTCTGAAATGCCTTTTGTATGTAAATTATTAGAAACCACTTTTCTTCTTTTTCTCAAACAAAATCTATTGCAGCAACTGAAGTTGGACATTTCTCGGATGGTGCGATTCTCAAAGCAAACGCGAAGGTGGCGCGATCGGATGAATTGTGAACTTAATTAAGGCGTGGAACCGAAACCTCGTCGCGTCCCGTCGTGGCTTCGCATATAAATGGCAGATTAGCCGGAATGTACGAAAATAAGGAAAAATGCAAATATCCCCTGACCGAGACGTGCTTACACGGAGATGGAGTGTGGACGGTGGAGACGTGCCGGCCGCCGCACTTTCTATCGTTACGCCTCTAGTACAATCGATGCACGTTCGCGACCAATACTTGCCGGCTACTGGCAACGTCCGTCTCACGCTTAATTATTTACAGTAATTTATTATTTCAATTAAAAATACTAATTAAAATGAGATTCCTCGTTTTTTATGTTCTTACGTTTCTTTTTTTTTTTTTTTTTAAAAAACTACTGTGTCATTAGAAAAAGCAATTATTTCACCATAAGTTGTATACATAAAAGCAATGACTATCTGACAACAATTTTTTTACAGTCATACTAATATTATAAACGTAAAATTCTGTCTATCTATTTGTTATTGATATATAAATAAATTAAACATTTGAGAAGAATATAGGCTATATTTGGATGCAAAAATAAAGCTTGAAGGGGTGAAAATGAGGATAAAAGTGTGTACTGTGTAGGGAGTATCTATTATTTTTCAAATTAAAAATATTTATGCAATCGATAAGAAATAAAAAGTGTTTCAACAGTTTTGAAAAATCATTTATAATGGCGGAACGCATCAGGATGGTTTTAATTTTTTTTCTACATTAACCGCGCCGCCGCTATAAAGACTAAGTTTATAATATGAAAATCCTTTGGTTTTCTGCTAGAGACATAAAAATTAAAACTTATTGTATGGTATATTATTTGTATTTATAAAATGTAATGTTGATGTTTTATAATCAAGATATCCTGAGCGATGTATGAAATACACGGTGTCAAGCTTCACGTATTCTATAAGACGCAGTTCATTTATACCGAAATAAAATTGAAATGCCTCTCTGCAACGTTAAATAACACCTTTTTACTAAATACATATGAAATTATATACGGTACTTATAAGAAAAAAACAATTTGACATTTTTTGTCTGTCTGTTCTGGCTAATCTCCGAAACTGCAGGCCCGATTTTGGCCGAACTTTCACTGGCAAATAGCTGGTGTTATAAGGAGTAACTTAAAATACTTGTATTTTAGAAAAATAATTAGGGTTACGCGCAAAAAAATTAAAACCCACGAAATCGTGAACAAAATTCGCGTACCTAGGGATGCACCCGAGCGAAGCCAAGGTAAATCGCTGGTCACAATAAATGATTACGCTTAATCTATATAATAGCAAACTGTAACAAAGTGACCGAGTTCATAGAATAGTTGTAGTGGAATTTGTCGCGAGTTCAAATTAATCTTAACTTTAATAAGTCTTCCATTTTAGCCCTTCCCTCCCTTTACCCCTCGTCCCTCTGTCACCCCGCGCATGTGTTTGTAAGTTCAAAGAGGGAACTATGACAGGACTTAAATCAGTGCTATTGAGAATTTTCAGAGCGTACACCACGCTCTCTGAACTCAAAGTTTGTGCGACACTCAACTATTTTTGTTTTATTTAATAAAAATTATTAAGGGGCTTTGTCGGAATGCTCCATTTTTTTGTTTTAAGTAAAATTTCTATACTTTCGCGTTCGTTCGTACATACTTGTTGTTTTATACGTAGATTTTCTAGCGTTAATTAAAGACATCGCTCCTCGCACCAACTGACGGTAATCTTATTATTTTCATAACAATTGTTAATGTATTATAAATTTATTCGTAATAGAGGCACTGATAGCACAAACGATTGTTTATTTTACCATTAAAAATGTAACTTTAAGAAACAATTAAATAGGAGTTTCTTTCGCAGTGGAATATACCTACGTCTTAATATTTATGAAAACTAAAATTTACTCCACGGAATATTAAGTAAGTTTTAAGGCGAGGCTCATTTGGTGTGTCAATTTGTTTTATTACTAACGGTACAGTTAGCGCATTCGTTCATTCGACCACAAGTATAACGCAATATATTCGAGTTCTTATGTACTGGAGCATAGAAGTCAAGATCCCGCGGTACCCTCAGCTGGGGGGCCTTGGCTGATCTCATTAGCTGTCGGCCGACGGACGCAATCAGCGTGCATCTGTTCTTTTAAGTCTAATTAATTTACTTTGACTACGAATGCACTTGTTTTTATTCTACTCGTACAGTTGTATTGTTTTAAAAACATATGCTCGTAAGTTAATACTTGTATGCAATTTATGGTACGTAAGAAAACTTACACAGAATTTCTTTTACTTTTCTAATTTTTATATTATGATCTAAGATTTTTCTTAATAAGGTATTATTTATTTATTCATTTTTTTTGACGACACGTTTGGCTCAGTTTTAGTAACCGTACTTGCTGTGCCAGCGGTCGTGGGTTTGAGTCCCGCTGGGGGCATTCATTTGTGTGATGAGCACGAATGTTTGTACTCCAGTCATAATTGTTTATATTTATAATATGTATATATTTAAAGTTATATATGTGTAGTGTATCAACTATCTGGTAT